TCAAAACTTCTCCACTGAAGATTTATCTTGTATACTAGAATATTATTACTGTGCTTTTTGTTACCTGCCATATAAAACTCAAATATTTGGTCTCTGTGCCGTCGAGTATTAGTTAAGTGTCATCGCCATACTTTGAAAATGAAACTAGCCTTGCAAATCATGGAATTTTCTGCCTTTATCTCTTATTATTTCTTAGACGATTTACTACTATTTTAGTCATATGTTAAAAAGTTTGTAATTAGATGACCAACTACTGAGGTGAGCAAGGATCAGCAATGCCTGTTGTAGTATTATTAATTATTTATATACTATGATGTTTTTTTTATAATAATGTATAATATACCCTATTCGTTATATATACCTCTCTGCATTGGCATGGGGTCATTCGTTATATATACCTCTCTGCTGTGTCATGGGGCCATTCGTTATATATACCTCTCTGCTGTGTCATGGGGTCATTCGTTATATATACCTTTCTGCTGTGACATGGGGCCATTCGTTATATATACCTCTCTGCTGTGTCATGGGGCCATTCGTTATATATACCTCTCTGCTGCGTCATGGGGCCATTCGTTATATATACCTCTCTGCTGTATCATGGGGCCATTCGTTATATATACCTCTCTGCTGTGCCATGGGGTCATTCGTTATATATACCTTTCTGCTGTGACATGGGGCCATTCGTTATATATACCTCTCTGCTGTATCATGGGGCCATTCGTTATATATACCTCTCTGCATTGTCATGGGGCCATTCGTTATATAGCTCTCTACAGTGTCATTGGGCCATTCGTTATATACCTACAGTGTCACTGGGTTATTCGTTATATACCTCTCTACAGTGTCACTGGGTTATTCGTTATATACCTATCTACTGTGTCATGGGGCTATTCATTATACCTCTCTGCATTGTCATGGGGCCATTCGTTATATATACCTCTCTGCAGTGTAACTGGGTTATTCGTGATATACCTCCCTAGTGTCATTGGGCCATTCATTATATATACCTCTCTACAGTGTCATTGGGCCATTCGTTATATATACCTCTCTGCATTGTCATGGGGCCATTCGTTATATATACCTCTCTGCTGTGTCATGGGGCCATTCGTTATATATACCTCTCTGCTGTGTCATGGAGCCATTCGTTATATATACCTCTCTGCATTGTCATGGGCCCATTCGTTATATATACCTCTCTGCAGTGTCACTGGGTTATTCATTATATACCTCTCTGCTGTGTTATGGGGACATTCGTTATATATACCTCTCTGCTGTGTCATGGAGCCATTCGTTATATATACCTCTCTGCATTGTCATGGGCCCATTCGTTATATATACCTCTCTGCAGTGTCATGGGGCCATTCGTTATATATACCTCTCCGCATTGTCATGGGGCCATTCGTTATATATACCTCTCCGCATTGTCATGGGGCCATTCGTTATATATACCTCTCTGCAGTGTCACTGGGTTATTCGTTATATACCTATCTACTGTGTCATGGGGCTATTCATTATGCCTCTCTACAGTGTCATGGGGCAATACGTTATAAACCCTTTTATTGTGTAATGGTGGCTATTCATTATATACTTTTCTACTGTGTCATGGGGCTATTCCTTATACCTCTATACTGTGTCATGGGCCCATTCGTTATATACCTTTCTATTGTGTCATGGGCCCATTCATTATATACTTTTCTACCATGTCATGGGGTTATTCCTTATACCTCTCTACTGTGTCATGGGCCCATTCGTTATATACCTTTCTATTGTGTCATGGGGTCATACTCAAACTTAACACATCAGTTCCAAGATGGCTGCCTGGCGGCCATTTAGCTTCTCCGATCCAGCTCAAATTTGAAATGCAGGATTATGGATCATAGGAATCCTAAATACCAAGTTCCACCACGACTCAGCAAATGGTTTTATAGAAATAGCTATAGCAAAAACAAATTACAGAGGGGCTGCCCAACTTCAGACAGACACTGGATCACAGTAGAAAATTGTTTTCAGTTGTCAATCAGCTGCAATTTGTCTTCATATAACGATCCCTTCCCCCTAATGCATTTTTTTATATATATACAGTAACTTCCCCTTAATTTTGCTTGCGATATAACTGTCACCATTAGGCCAGGGTACCACTGATGACTGGCTAGCTCAGGTAGGTTTAGAGTTTGTGATATAACTGCCACCATGAGGCCAGGGTACCACTGATGACTGGGTAACTCAGGTAGTTTTAGAGTTTGTGATATAACTGCCCCCATTAGGCCAGGGTACCACTGATGACTGGCTAACTCAAGTAGGTTTAGAGTTTGGGATATAACTGTGACCATGAGGCCAGGGTACCACTGATGACTGGGTAGCTCAGGTAGGTTAAGAGTTTGCGATATAACTGTCATCATGAGGCCAGGGTACCACTGATGACTGGCTAACTCAAGTAGGTTTAGAGTTTGTGATATACCTGCGACCATGAGGCCAGGGTACCACTGATGACTGGGTAGCTCAGGTAGTTTTAGAGTTTGCGATATAACTGTCACCATTAAGCCAGGGTACCACTGATGACTGGGTAACTCAGGTATAATGCATTTTTTTATATATATACAGTAACTTCCCCTTAATTTTGCTTGCGATATAACTGTCACCATTAGGCCAGGGTCCCACTGATGACTGGCTAGCTCAGGTAGTTTTAGAGTTTGCGATATAACTGTCACCATTAAGCCAGGGTACCACTGATGACTGGGTAACTCAGGTATAATGCATTTTTTTATATATATACAGTAACTTCCCCTTAATTTTGCTTGCGATATAACTGTCACCATTAGGCCAGGGTCCCACTGATGACTGGCTAGCTCAGGTAGTTTTAGAGTTTGCGATATAACTGTCACCATTAAGCCAGGGTACCACTGATGACTGGGTAACTCAGGTATAATGCATTTTTTTATATATATACAGTAACTTCCCCTTAATTTTGCTTGCGATATAAATGTCACCATTAGGCCAGGGTACCACTGATGACTGGGTAACTCAGGTATAATGCATTTTTTTATATATATACAGTAACTTCCCCTTAATTTTGCTTGCGATATAACTGTCACCATTAGGCCAGGGTGCCACTGATGACTGGCTAACTCAGGTAGGTTTAGAGTTTGCGATATAACTGTCACCATTAGGCCAGGGTGCCACTGATGACTGGCTATCTCAGGTAGGTTTAGAGTTTGTGATATAACTGCCACCATGAGGCCAGGGTACCACTGATGACTGGGTAGCTCAGGTAGGTTAAGAGTTTGCGATATAACTGTCATCATGAGGCCAGGGTACCACTGATGACTGGCTAGCTCAGGTAGGTTTAGAGTTTGGGATATAACTGCCACCATTAGGCCAGGGTACCACTGATGACTGGGTAACTGAGGTAGGTTTAGAGTTTGCGATATAACTGTCACCATTAAGCCAGGGTACCACTGATGACTGGGTAACTCAGGTATAATGCATTTTTTTATATATATACAGTAACTTCCCCTTAATTTTGCTTGCGATATAACTGCCACCATTAGGCCAGGGTTCCACGGATGACTGGCTAACTCAGGTAGGTTTAGAGTTTGCGATATAACTGTGACCATTAGGCCAGAGTACCACTGATGACTGGGTAGCTCAGGTAGGTTTAGAGTTTGCGATATAACTGTCACCATGAGGCCAGGGTACCACTGATGACTGGCTAACTCAAGTAGGTTTAGAGTTTGTGATATAACTGTGACCATGAGGCCAGGGTACCACTGATGACTGGGTAACTCAGGTAGGTTTAGAGTTTGTGATATAACTGTCGCCATGAGGCCAGGGTACCGCTGATGGCTGGGTAACTCAGGTAGTTTTAGAGTTTGCTATATAACTGTCACCATGAGGCCAGGGGACCGCTGATGACTGGGTAACTCAGGTAGTTTTAGAGTTTGCTATATAACTGTCACCATGAGGCCAGGGGACCACGGATGACTGGCTAACTCAGGTAGGTTTAGAGTTTGTAATATAACTGTCACCATGAGGCCGGGGTACCACTGATGACTGGCTAACTCAAGTAGGTTTAGAGTTTGGGATATAACTGTCACCATGAGGCCAGGGAACCGCTGATGACTGGGTAACTCAGGTAGTTTTAGAGTTTGGGATATAACTGTCACCATGAGGCCAGGGTACCGCTGATGGCTGGGTAACTCAGGTAGTTTTAGAGTTTGCTATATAACTGTCACCATGAGGCCAGGGGACCGCTGATGACTGGGTAACTCAGGTAGTTTTAGAGTTTGCGATATAACTGTCACCATGAGGCCAGGGGACCACGGATGACTGGCTAACTCAGGTAGGTTTAGAGTTTGTGAGATAACTGCCACCATTAGGCCAGGGTGCCACTGATGACTGGCTAACTCAGGTAGGTTTAGAGTTTGTAATATAACTGTCACCATGAGGCCGGGGTACCACTGATGACTGGCTAACTCAAGTAGGTTTAGAGTTTGTGATATAACTGTCGCCATGAGGCCAGGGTACCGCTGATGGCTGGGTAACTCAGGTAGTTTTAGAGTTTGGGATATAACTGTCACCATGAGGCCAGGGAACCACTGATGACTGGCTAGCTCAGGTGGGTTTAGAGTTTGTGATATAACTGTCACCATGAGGCCAGGGTACCGCTGATGACTGGGTAACTCAGGTAGTTTTAGAGTTTGCGATATAACTGTCACCATGAGGCCAGGGTACCACTGATGACTGGGTAGCTCAGTTAGCTTTAGAGTTTAGCAAACTCTGTTCCAGGGTTCAAATCCTGGTCTAGCCCCACTGAAGTTTACACACAGAACACTGTGGTGGATGTTTTCATTTCATATTCTTTATTTTTCATAAAAATCCTGCAAGGCAAGGTTTTCTTTTCAGAAAAGCTTTCTCAGACCTATTTTCATGGTGAAAAAAAACCCAGTTTCCAATACAGTTGTTTGCAGTGGTTCAGTGATCTTTAACAAGAAATACTCCAACAAAAAGACAATAGTTTAAGTTTTTATTCCCGTATCATTCAGACAATAAATCAGTAAACTGGTGGGTACGACAGAACATAGGTCCTGATATACACATGTAGGTTATATACCTGGTCAATGGACCTGGAAGTACAGTTCAGTCGACTAGGTGTGACAGAACATAGGTCCTGATATACACATGTAGGTTATATGTTTTTATTCCCGTATCATTCAGACAATAAATCAGTAAACTGGTGGGTACGACAGAACATAGGTCCTGATATACACACGTAGGTCATATACCTGCTCAATGGACCTGGAAGTACAGGTCAGTCGACCAGGTGTGACAAAACATAGGTACTGATATACACATGTAGGTTATATACCTGGTCAATGAGCCTGGAAGTACAGGTCAGTCGACCAGGTGTGACAAAACATAGGTACTGATATACACATGTAGGTTATATACCTGGTCAATGAGCCTGGAAGTACAGGTCAGTCGACCAGGTGTGACAAAACATAGGTACTGATATACACATGTAGGTTATATACCTGGTCAAGGATCCTGGAAGTACAGGTCAGTCGACCAGGTGTGACAAAACATAGCTCCTGATATACACATGTAGGTTATATACCTGGTCAATGGACCTGTAAGTACAGGTCAGTCGACCAGGTGTGACAGAACATAGGCCCTGATATACACATGTAGGTTATATACCTGGTCAATAGACCTGGAAGTACAGGTCAGTCGACCAGGTGTGACAAAACATAGGTACTGATATACACATGTAGGTTATATACCTGGTCAAGGATCCTGGAAGTACAGGTCAGTCGACCAGGTGTGACAAAACATAGGTACTGATATACACATGTAGGTTATATACCTGGTCAATGGACCCGGATGTACAGGTCAGTCGACCAGGTGTGACAGAGTATAGGTCCTGATATACACATGTAGGTTATATACCTGGTCAATGAGCCTGGAAGTACAGGTCAGTCGACCAGGTGTGACAAAACATAGGTACTGATATACACATGTAGGTTATATACCTGGTCAATGAGCCTGGAAGTACAGGTCAGTCGACCAGGTGTGACAAAACATAGGTACTGATATACACATGTAGGTTATATACCTGGTCAATGAGCCTGGAAGTACAGGTCAGTCGACCAGGTGTGACAAAACATAGGTACTGATATACACATGTAGGTTATATACCTGGTCAATGGACCTGTAAGTACAGGTCAGTCGACTAGGACGTCTATCATACAAAAACATTCAATCACATAGCTCAGTAGATTTAAGAAAAGATTTCAAAAAACATGTATGACACGTTCTCATGCAAGATGCAGTTAATAAAAAAGATGAAAATATAGGTCTCTGATAGAAGTAAGTTTGTTATAGTTGTAAAACCATCTACATGTATATAGCTACCTGACTAGAGCAGAGCAGGACAGGTAATTTATAAATGTAGTTTTCACTCTCAGCAGAGCAACCATGGTTACAATCTGTTTTTGAGAAACTGTTGGCTTTTTATGGATATGGGTCCTGTCCTGAAATTCTGAGGCAATTATTACCTGACATCCACCAGATAATATAATACATGTCTACACTTCTAGATCACCCTATTCACATAGCGTACACAGAAATGGTCTGAATTCCCCAATGATCATTTTACATTGAACTGTACATGTAGGAACATCAGCAGCGGCATGGATGAACATTACATAATACAAGATAGCAAAGCAATGCATGTGACATTTGATAAGGTAAGTAAGAAATGTATATATCAACAAGATGTTTAGGCCATATTAACAATCTGACAAACTGATGTAACATACAACACTTAGGGATTTGGTAATAAAACAATACAGCGTTCTCACATATAACAACAAACCAGTTACCACACTTAATATTCTGTCTTTGTTGATTTGTTGAAATTTGATAAATTACTTTGAGGACATGCATTTGATAAATGTGTCTTCAAAATCTAATCGCCTTGTATTCAAAAGGACAAAAATAAGCAGAAATGAAACAGTAAATCTGTTATTTTGAAACTAGTAGAAATCCTACACCTACATAAAATAGTGCTGCAAGCTTCACTAGGCGTTCCCATGTTGTGTTATAAGCTTCACTAGGCGTTCCCATGTTGTGTTATTTGCCTGAACATTATCAGTATACTTGTGTTAACAGGGCAGTCTGAAGGCACGTCATTGATTGGCCGGTGCCACAGTCATCAAAGCATAAAGCTGTGGACAGGAGGTACAATGTTTCTGTGATTATTTTGGAGTAATTTTGTATGAATTTAGACATGTAAGACTGATATATAAATGCCTTAATGGATCAATGTGCTGGTGGGAAGAATCCTACACAATGTACTAAAAATGTTTTGAGAGAAGAAATTTTGATAAGTCAGCAAAATGCAGTAAGACAGATTAATTTAATTATATCTATTGTATTATCTTCTGATATTGAGCCTCAAGTAATGAAAGGTCCTTAACCCAGGACACAGAAAACAGGTGTTGTGGTCGATCAGTCACCCTAACATATCACAGAGGGCAGATCTGTCACCCCAACATATCACAGAGGGCAGATCTGTCGAGAAAGATTTCAAACAGCTGAGTATTGCTTTCCAGTAATATACATGGAGCATGTGTTCTACGGAGCATCTTCTCATAAACACAACCCCTTCTCTCTAAATCAAAGGAGTGTCGTAGCATCTTCTCATAAACACAACTTCTCTCTAAATCAAAGGAGTGTCATAGCAACTTCTCATAAACACAACCCCTTCTCTCTAAATCAAAGGAGTGTCATAGCATCTTCTCATAAACACAACCCCTTCTCTCTAAATCAAAGGATTGTCGTAACAACTTCTCATAAATACAACTTCTTCTCTCTAAATCAAAGGAGTGAGAGTCACACCTGCATTAGAATATATCCATTTTGTAATTGAACATAAAATGCCCCAAAACACTTTGAGGTTATTTAAAAATCTACTACATGCACATGTATTACACATATATCTAAATCAATGTCTTTCAGAGATTTGATTTATAAATAGCCGTATATATCTTTATAGTGACTGTACTTATACACAGACACTTAATATCAGTCAATAGCACATACAAATCAGTAATTTATGTATAAATAATTTATACTTCAATCATAAATTTCAGCAAAAAACAAATACTAACATGTCTGAAACTAATTTCATAAAATTGCAAAATTCATAAACAAAATTTATGACAATACTGCTAAACATGTTTAGACCGTAAAAGTACCACGACCCTGATGTTATCCTTGATTGGTCCAGCGCGACGGTACCTTTGACACACTGGGGAGTTGCTGAAAATCAAAATGCATGCAATATTCCTCAAAGGTACCTACTACACCTACAATATCTTTTCTTCAAAGGTACCTACTACACCTACAATATCTTGGTTAAGGTAAACTTCTCAGGTAAATCATTAATGGCCAAAAATCCTGATGACTTATGAAAGTGGGTGGGGTTTGGTGGGGTACTGAACTTGATTTGGGAAAGGGATATTACTAGGTAGGTGATTGCTGATGAGGCTGGAATTGACTTGTTGTTCTCGTACATGGAAAGGTATATGATAATTAGGGCAGTGTTATTTCCTGATAATACTTTGGGTGTGGTAGAGGTCAGGCCTAGGCAGACGACTATCATTGATGGGGGAACGGTACACTGTGAAGTAGAAGGGAAAACAATATCTCTGTTGAAATGGATAATGGGTGGGTAGGGGGAGATACTGAGGTCGTGTGAAAGGGTGAAAGTAACATGTATGTCCCGACTCGTACACTCACACATCGTCCTCACATTATCACACATTTTTCAAACAAGATTTTTTTACAAACTAAAAGTATTCTATTGTCACCACACATTAATAAATGAAATTTTTGAATACCTTCCGTACCATGACACTGTATTATGAGAAGTTCTTTTTACACAACCAATAAAAAATATTGTGTGACGTTACGATGTCTAGTAAAATATGTACACTGCCACCTTCATCAGACAAATGACCAGTGAAGCGTATGCACACAAAGGTGTAAAATGTGTACGAGTTGTCTAAAAAATCGATGTCGATTTCGGCTACGCTGGAAACGTATGTACAATAGTTGGTTATATATGTACTGAAATGACTTTGTGTGCATACGCTTCACTGGTCATTTGTCTGATGAAGGTGACAGTGTACATATCGTACTAGTCATCGAAACTTCACATAGAAAATGTTATTGGTTGTGTAAAAACATCTTCTCATGATCAATCCTTACCACCCTGAAGAAAATGTTTAGCAATACACTGTATGTAATATTTTCTGTGTTATTGATCATGCTTTCATTTTTTAAAGAAGTCATACTGGTACTTATAACAGGTAAGTGTATCTTTTGCTGCCTTGTCTTGGAGAAGGTTCTAGATTCGCCTACATCATTATTCAGTGATATCAATAAGTGTTGTTTTACAGCCTGCATCATTATTCAGTGATATAAATAAGTGTTGTTTTACATTGTATCACTATCTTTACTGGTATACAAAACATGAACATCATTTGTCAACAGGGACAATTAAAGTATCAGTTTAAACATAAAAATGTTATTGATTATGTTACCAAAACACTTGTCTTAAGGGTATATACTACTTTACTTTGAAGATTATCTCCCTTCCTAAAAGTTCTTCACTAAGAAAACTGTACAACATCTATCACGAATAGTAAACTGAAACAATTTAAAGCTTTTGTTCAACATGTCTGTCACCAATGGGAAACTGAACAAATCTGAAGCTTTTGATAGACACAAAAGTTTATCCCTAATAGTAAACTGGACCAATTGGATGCTATTCATAGATACATATGGAAGGAAGGGCTGATAGTTTGACAGACTTTCAGATTTTGACAATATATATATTTGATTAGATAGGTACAGTTATAGTCAATAATAATGTCTTCAAAAATGTGCTTGTTTGAATTGATCTTCTCAAAAGCTATCCTTTTTTTTTAGTTTTTCTGTTTATTGTTTATTAATTTAAATTACCTGAAAACGTGTTGCAGTACATGTATTACATATATAGCATCTGTTGTCTTCAGTCTCGGTCAAACTATTACATTTTTAAGGGAGATAACTTAACAAAATCATATTAGGTATGTAGCATGTTACAGTTACAAACAGACCGCATCGATCACTGACATTATATATACACAGATACACACACAGATACACACACAGATACACAGACAGCATCACTGACATTATATATACACAGATACACACACAGATACACAGAAAGCATCACTGACATTCCACATACACAGATACACAGACAGCAGCATCACTTCTCTAATTCACACTCACAGTTTGTTTTTGTTAATTAAACTAGTAATTGGACCATATTTCATGAATACCTTTCTCAATACTTGTAGTATAGTTGTATTGCTGCGTACCATTTCTGTTTAGCCACATGTATTTAGTTACATACATATACATAATACATAATAACATAAAGTAGACCACTAACAGTGAAATACAGTTTAATATTTATTTGCATGATCTTATAATATCTCTCCACACACATTTATAAGAACTTAATTGTACATTCAAACATTAACGACCATTATCTGTTTCCATACTATCACATTTTCTAAGCAAACTGTTTTTACCAAAAGGTGGAGCAGCTATGTTTTGGTGGAAGGGTTGTATTTTCTATGGTGACATAAAACACATCAATCACAAACCATTTGTGAATTTTCGTCAATGTAACATACAGCTTTGTATGAAAAAGATTTTGGCAATGACTTTTCTTCCATTGTGATTCGGGAGATATTCAGGATCACAATTCAATAATTAAGGATAACTGCATTGGGATATTAAATGCTCAAAATTCTACTAACAATTAAATCAATAACAACAGTAATAATTTAATATGTTCGATGATCACAAAAGCACCCAATATTACATCAGTTAAGTGGGTATATCTGTCTAAAGGTATACCGGTATGTACATATGAACCTCAAGTTAAAGCTGAATACATGCATGTATTTAAAGCATGTTCACGATTGGGTAATATAAAATTACATACAACAACTGTCATCACAGCTATTTCATCTGCAAAATCTTGTATGAATAAAATTCCAATACTTGTCTTAATGTCTTCGTATACATAAAACATGTACTACAACAAAAATATGTAATGATATTTGAACTGGTTTGGCTGTATGAAGCATGATGGCTGTAAATGTATCGGGGGTATACACTTGTATGAGTCAAAATCAACATGTTATAGGCTTGAAACTGTTGGCAAATTTATTTTTGTATTGTTTTAGGGCCCATTAACAAGTCAATTGTCTGGCCATCATGTTCACAAACACAGACATCACTGCTCACCAGACATACTTCTAACACCCATATTTGGCTGGAAAAAATAATTACACACAAGAAAAGCAATGAATTAAAAGAAAGAATATACCACGCAAATATGAAACACTTGTGTGCTGACGCCACTGTCAACGATTAGTGATACAGCAGTGTAAACAACACTACTGACCATGATCAGTGTCCTGGACACAGCTTCATGTAAAACTTGGGTACTGAACACAGTCGCTGTGGTTGTACATGTACAATGGTCCCTGTTACAATGTAGAGCTCAGCCATTCCATTGTTGATCTTCTGTCACAACTCCCCTGACATCCAACTCTGTTTCAAAGCTCCACATGTATGCCTTTCAGAAACAACTTTGTATATAAATATGATTACATCAGCAATAACAATTTTCAACAACATCCAGAGCTTTGTAATTTGTCTTTCCGTTTTAAGTCCACTGTTGGTCCGTGTGATGGTTTGGTGTTGCTATCAATCACATCTTCCAGTTCCTTAAGTCTTTTGACAGCAGCTCGAAATGCATCATTGACGTTGGTGGAATCCTTTGCACTAGTTTCAAAGTAAGGCATGCGTCCATTTGCATGACACCACTCCTGGGCCTCCTCACTCCCAACTACACGATTTTCTACATCCACTTTGTTTCCAATTATCACAAAAGGAAAGCTATCCCCCTCCTTTATATCAGCGTAATACAGAAACTCCTTCCTCCACATGCCTAAATTACGATAACTTTGCACGTCATCGACCGCAAAAGTCAGGAGGCAGCAGTCCGCCCCTCGGTAGAAAGGGGTACGAAGAGACTTGAATCGTTCCTGTCCCGCTGTATCCCAGATCTGCATCTTATACAGTTCATTGTCCACTTCCACATCTTTATTAAGAAACTCCACACCAATCGTGTGGAATGACTGTGCATCAAATTTATTGCTGACAAAACGATTCATCAGAGAGCTCTTGCCAACACCTCCGTCTCCTAGCAACACCACCTTCAGCAGCTTGGCTTTGGCAGCCATGACAACTCTTCTTAGGCGCACAAGTTCCTGAAACAATAGGTACATATATCAGCTATGCCTTCCAATTAAACCCTGAGTTACATTAACTGGGTATCGTCACTGTCGGATGGTGGACTTCTGTATGTACTATGTTATATCTCACTAACAGAAAGTTACCAGTAAGTAAAGTGAATTATTTAAGACACAAATTTTACAAAGTGTATGTTAACTAATGTGGACCAAATGAAGTATACTTTTTATGTGTACATTCCCCCCCCACCACAACTCTAAATTACGATTAATTCAGAACTTTAGAAAATACAGCTGTTAGTCTGTATTTAAGCAATCCCAAGCAGGACTATGAAGCAATGTCAGACTTCAGGCTAAGGTTAAATTGTAAATAATACAAGCACTTTCTTGGAAAACAGCATTTTACAAAACATTGTACACTTGTGTGTAACCTATCACTTGTAAACCACCTCTTTCATACAAACAACAACCATACACAATGTTAGAGTTTGGATGTAAGTCTCGATTGCTCAATGATTTCCAAAATAAGTCTGTTGCTTTTTATAACAATCAGACTGCTATAGATACATGTATGCAAATATTTCCACACTAAAACATTAACATGAGGCTCAATGGCCTTAGCTGTCACCTGAGTTATATAAAGGGTACTGGTAGCTCTCTATTTCATTATTGAGATGTGATGTGGAAATCAACATGTTAACAAAGTAAAATATGATACTCGCCATGTCACCAAATGATAAGAACTTGAAAAACTATTCAAACAAATTTATTTTGCTATTTAGAAATGTTAATGTTATTTAGCCAATTTTCCTCTTTGGCCAACCCCTGGGATAGGTCAGGATCTTACTTTGGCCAACCCCTGGGATAGGTCAGGATCTTATGTTGGCCAACCCCTGGGATAGGTCAGGATCTTATGTTGGCCAACCCCTGGGATAGGTCAGGATCTTATGTTGGCCAACCCCTGGGATAGGTCAGGATCTTATGTTGGCCAACCCCTGGGATAGGTCAGGATCTTAATTTGGCCAACCCCTGGGATAGGTCAGGATCTTATGTTGGCCAACCCCTGGGATAGGTCAGGATCTTAATTTGGCCAACCCCTGGGATAGGTCAGGATCTTATGTTGGCCAACCCCTGGGATAGGTCAGGATCTTACTTTTGCCAACCCCTGGGATAGGTCAGGATCTTACTTTTGCCAACCCCTGGGATAGGTCAGGATCTTACTTTGCCCAACCCCTGGGATAGGCCAGGATCTTATTTTGGCCAACCCCTGGGATAGGTCAGGATCTTACTTTGGCCACCCCCTGGGATAGGTCAGGATCTTACTTTGGCCAACCCCTGGGATTGGTCAGGATCTTACTTTGGCCAACCCCTGGGAGAAGGTCAGGATCTTACTTTGGCCAACCCCTGGGATTGGTCAGGATCTTACTTTGGCCAACCCCTGGGAGAAGGTCAGGATCTTACTTTGGCCAACCCCTGGGATTGGTCAGGATCTTACTTTGGCCAACCCCTGGGAGAAGGTCAGGATCTTACTTTGGCCAACCCCTGGGAGTGGGTCAGGATCTTACTTTGGCCAACCCCTGGGATAGGTCAGGATCTTATGTTGGCCAACCCCTGGGATAGGTCAGGATCTTACTTTCCAATACTATTTGATTTCAATTTTTATTATAACTATTCCAACCAAGTTTGAATTATTTCTTGCTAAAAATGGACAAGATATAGTCAGAAGTGTTATTTCCCTATACATTTGTATAAACCAAGGAGAACAGATGACCAAAGGGTAATATAACTAACAGTTTATATAATGCACATTAGGGCATTTCCATCCATAAAAGAAATTGGTTTGAATCTTGTACCATCTGATCATGAGTGCAGAGTTTTTTTTAAAATATCAGCCATTTTCTGCTTTTTGGCCCCACCCCTCCAGCCCCTGGGTCAAGGACAGATCTTATTTTTTCATACCGATAATGCACATAAGGACCTTTTTATCCATGAAGAGTATTTGCTTGTAACAGATCTGAGTGTGATGAATCAGATTTTTGAACTTTTAACCATTTTCCACATTTGGACCCCACCCCTCCACCCCCTGGGGATGGGGCAGGTTATGATTTTCTCATACCAGCTAATTGCCATCTGGCATCATAATCACTCCAAGTTTGAATAATTTCCTGCTGAAAATTGACAAAAAAAAATCCCTATATAAACTATAGTAAACTTTATCCCCTCCCCAAGGGAGAACGGATGGCCCAGGGGTAGTACTGATACTTGCAATTGACATAAAGCCCCTGATGGTCTATCCATCCATGCAAAAATATTACTATAGTACCTCTGAGTCTGGAGAAGGAAGACTTTTGAAATATTATTTAATATATACCCTTTGGGGCCCCGTCCTGGCCCCTGGGGTTGGGGCATGAATCCCAATTTTTTCAATTTGATACCATCTTCTTCCAAGAAAAATTCTCACCAAGTAAGAATAATTTCCTATTGAAAATTGACAAAATATACCCAAAAGTGTTATATCTTTCTATAAACTTTAAATTTTCCTTTTGACGCCCCGCCCTGACCCCTGGGGTTTGAGTAGCAATTGATCCCAATTTTACAATTTTGTAGCCTTATCTACCAAGGATGATTCTGACAAAGTTTAAAAAAATTCCATCTTCTGGTTCTTGAGAAGAAGTCGAAAATGTAAAAAGTTTGCACACGACAAGACGCCGACGGCCAGAAAGCAATCAGAATAGGTCACTTGTGCAAAGCTCAGGTGACCTAAACACTATAAAGCTTTTGTAAATGTCTAATCTTTACCTTCCAGCTGTATTAACAATACCTGTTTACAGAGTCTGACACCAGGTCCATCCAACATTATTGAAATTTCAGTTGAGGAGAGCTTAATCAGGTCGGTATAGGGAAGGCTAACAAAACAATAATTAACAGGCTACTTGTGTATATATGTCTATACCAATTAAACCGTGACATATATTATTGATGAATGACCTTTAGTATTGACCCCTATTGTAACCTTGGTTTACTATGTACAATGCTTACCTCCACACATTACATCCAGTATGTACACATTTCTGTATTGGTACACTATAGATTTTTGTTGCAGGCTTGTCTAAACAAATTTTCTCTTCTACTAGCAACAAAAGAGTAGCTACCAGTACAGTTATATTAGCCTAAAAGTCTATCCCACTTAGGAAAGTTAATTTGGTTTTCAATTTAGATGACACTTCACATATGGAAGGCAACCTACGAGGAAGCAACACATACGTTTGTCTGGTTGAAAATTCATTTGTCTGGTTGAAAATCAAACAGATTATAAAACAGGAAATAACATCATTTACAAGTTGCTTCTCTGTAATCTTCAAATGACATCTATCAACCATGTGATTGGTCAGGCTTTTATACATGAAACCAATCAAAGAAGAGAATGTAAATGAGTGCATGTGTAACCCCTGAATTTTGAGGATGATTAAAGAGGGACTTGTATTGATTTTTTTCTGCTAACATGTTTAACTCATTCACCCCTGAAGACACATTTGAACTCTTCCAATTCACAGGTTGGAATAGTTCATTATGAAATTTCAGGGGCGAATGAGTTAACCTAATAAGCGAACTTAAACAATGATTAAGCAGCTTTTTTAGCTATTCACTTTTTTAACAACTTAGCAATAGTTAATTTTCATAACCAAAGTTTAAAAAAAAAAAAAAAAAGTTATATGAAAAAATATTGATTTCAAACTTGATTAATAATCTGTAAAAGTAAGAATTATTTGTTGGAATGTAATTATACACTACTGATTATCTGACATATACTTCATTATTTCTGTGATGATTTTCTGGAAGCTCTAGATCCGATTAGCTGTTCATAAAAATAATATACTTTGCTAAAACCATCCTATAAACCAATGATTACTAAATAATGTTAAAATTAACTTACATATCGTTATGTTATTACTCTAATTTTGAGTTTTCTTCCTCGATGTGGCATCACACATGATAGATGGATCACAATGGGGAATGGTTGGCAGTGACATGCTTTGCTTAAAGGAAAAATAATTAGATACCATAGCCAATCAAAAATTCCTTGGGAGACGAGTCTACTGGCTTAATCTCTGATCAGAAATGATGATAGACCACAAGCTTATATTGCCTAGTAATGTAAACGCTAAAAGGCAAAAGATCTTTGGTCAAACACTGAAGATTATATATTGGCAGATCAGTGAAGTGCCGAAAGCAGATTTTACAGGTTTTCATTAATCACATCCAACCTCTTTTCCAGAAAAAGGTGGGAGGTGTGCTTATAAAAAAGGGCAAGTGTGCTTTTTAGGTAGAATATGGTATGTTATTATTATTACAACTGAAGCATATAACATTTTGTTTAAATTACTGAAGGTAACAAGTACACACAGGGGTTGTACTTAAATAGACGGGGTATACATTTTCCATCAATGTTCGATACACCTGATGATTAATTATACATGTTCTGATCTATACTGATGGTCTATGGATGAGTGGTGGTAAGACACATTGGGTCTGTTTTTCCAGATACATACCTTGATTTATTACCTGATCAGGACTCTTACTACAGTCATACAGCCATTAGACTAGGCAATATTTCAGGATTTGTCTTTTCGTTTCACACTGTTACAATGCATGATAACTCGAACCACAACTTCGTTTAGAACTCATGTATCTCATAGGTAGGACATCAATGGAAAGCCTATGGCTTGTAATGATGTTATTTTAATTGATTGTTGATGATGGAGTGCGCGAAGAATGGCATACATTGTATGAAATCAAATGTATCTTAGACGTCTAGTGAAGTCTAATTGTCACAAAAGTATTAATTATTATTTACACATCGTAGATTAAAAGGACGGATAAAATGTGTGTGCATGATCTTTCCAGTGCACGTTTAACCTTTTTTTAAAACTATTCAAACTGTCATGATGACGAATTAAAACAAGAATTGATTCCAAACATTTTAGCATCTTTAACACCATGGTGGTAAACTTTATTTATTTTGCAACAATGATATGAAAAAGTTAACTCATTACAACTTTTATTAATTATTCTTGTTTGCCCGGATGTTATAGTGCTCTGGGGGTCTTAATGTGGAAAGAAACCAGAGTACCAGGAGGAAACCCAGGTAGTCGGGCAGGTGTACCTCCCAGTTAGTCGGGCAGGTGTATACCTCCCAGTTAGTCGGGCAGGTGTACCTCCCAGTTAGTCGGGCAGGTATACTTACAACACAGTTTGGGTACCCCTCTGCCAAGCACAAATCCAGTGCTTAAAGCAAGGGTTGGCAAGCTCGCCACGTTGTAACATGAGATGAGAAAGAGAAATACAACACCCAGATTGGGATTCAAACTCTAATCATGGATGCTATACCAATTGAGCTAACCTGGTCGCAGGTAATCGACCCAGTCCAGTTTTGCTACAGTTATTACAGCCCGGCAGCTGGTGACCCTTCCTGCTTAGGCAGTGATAACCCTTGTCAGGGAACTAATGAACCTGAATTGCAACGGTCTTAGTGGGCGAAGATTTGGAAAAAGGGAGTGAGTGATGAGAATAGAGGATGGCATTGTTTAAGTGTCAAAGTTGCCTTAGCTTACTAGCTTCTGCTGAAGGGAATTTTCCATTAGCTAAGCGGTAGAGTGTACTCTGGTTGGAGTGTCGGATCATGTATTGCTTTCACTTCTTCCTTGCTATTACAATTGTAACACTGACAGTGCTGAGTTATAAAAGCTAAGACAGTTTATCATAGAAATCAGCTGTTAATTATTGTCGGCGTTAGATACTTTCATGTCTGAGAACGTGATACTCATTCCTTTGGACTAAAAAATCATATTGTGTGTAAGCCTGAGATAGGTCTTTTGATAAAAATGCTAGGTTAATAAGTTTACTGTACTTCATTTCGGGGAAAACTTCCATTGATTTCAAAACCACAATAGCAATCAGCATCACATGATCCGTGTATGGAGGTGTAAGGAAGATGAATTGAGCACTATACGAGACGTATTCCATATCTAACAATATGTTGACATAATGTGTTTAGGGGTATATCACAATTCACACCTGTGAGAACAGGTAGGTAGGAACTACCTTATGTTGACAACTGGACATCACCGACTGACACACATTGCGACCCCCGGGCACTGTCTACGTATAACGCGTTATTGGAGAACGACAACAAGATACGACATGAAATTATATTAAATACACTTCCAAATAAGTTTGGATAAGTAAATAAACCAAGCCGAAACAATAATACTTACAAAAATCCAGAAAGTCTCTGCAATTACATACGTTCAATCTCCTGTTATGTGTAACATGATGGCAGGCATTAATGACGTCACTGATTGTCATGTGACTGATCACGCGGGGATTCCCTTTCCTGTTTCCGTTGCGAGGGAAGCACTTTGTGACTTTCTCCAATAATCTAAATGCTAATATGATAATCACACTCTATTCTAGCGATCATTTTATGTTATAGGCTATACATAAAGTGATTCATGTAACGTGTTTGCTCGTGCCATTGTTGACATGATCAGCTGATTTAAACATTACTCATCGTGGTACAGAATCGTGTCTGTCGCGATCAGCTGATCTGTTTCTGGTAAGATTTACCTCCCCTGGAACAGAAAGCCTACTTATGAGTCATAACATATGTTGGTGAAATGACCACTTTAATTAATAAGCGATTCACTTCATTTATATTGCACTGTATACCATTTATATTATGTTGTTATGTCTAGTCTTGTTATGGTGTTTTATCTCCTTTCTATGTAACGTTAGTGAAGGCAAATTCGTCACATTAGTAAGGGGGTTCAGTTAATAATTCGACCAAATGTACCCTCTTTTTTCATGTACAAATCAGTCTTTGGTAATTGTCGGTCTCTTGACGTAATCATCAGCAATCAGCAATTGTTTCAGGCCGACAACAAATTCTTTTCAAATATAAATCTAGCAAATACTATGGTATTTTAATTAAAGTGTTGTAAGATGGCTGAATAGGTTAGACGCATCTTTTTTAAAATATACTGATTGATTGTTTTCTAAATATATATTGCATGAACATGGAAAATGAATTATCAAATCTTTCCGAGCGTCATTTCCATAAACAAGCATTGGAGCGGTCCATAAGAAAATGTGTTATTACCCGTAGTGATTTATTTTTGTCTCTGATTAAATTACATGACATATGTATACCTAGATCTATATTTGTTTAGTAAAAAAAGATACAGAACTATTGTTTTATATTTGTTACATACGACATTAAAATAAAACTGCTTTAGTCTTGAAAACGAATCTGATAAATAAATAACAAATTCAAATTCAAATGTAGAATCTACTTTATTTCCAAATTAGGGCCCTTTGAGCATCACACTTAACAATCATAATTAAAACAGTTGTACAAAACAAAACATACAAAATTACATGAACACTGTATTGTAGTAAGAAATGTGTAATAGACAGAAATTTGGTCAATAAAGAGATTTTACAGAGTATGCACTATGTTGTCAGCATTATCAGTTCCATCATTGTTTGTGCATAGTTATCAGCCTCGTCTGTCAATACACCTATGATATACACAAGGTTGCTAACTGTCCCCCTAGTAAGACGACCCCGTTCCAGAAAACATGTGATTTTGTCATAACCGTTCATAGTATGACGCCGGGAGCAGTCTAGATCGACAGGGAAATATTTTTTCTTTAATTTGATGTAGCAATTGATTCAAAAATAAATTTTTGATATAAGAAAAATAATTAAAGAATAAGTTTCATTTTCGTCAACAGAAATGTTGAAGATTAATGTAGGAAGAACTAGTCTTGGTTGATTGAAGGAGGAATATCTGTGCAGGTGAATCATTGAATTTGAATTTGTATTCGTTGTAGTTATCTTTTAGGGATCAGACTCGGGACAATTTTAGTTCCGGGGATGATTAAAGTAACCATGTGATGTGTTTTAATGGCTAAGAGAACGGAGTATTCCGTCTTTGCGTATTGCAGAGTTATCTTCTCGAGTGAGCAGGTATTGATTGTTACGTCGTTTGTTTGTGAGAGTAACGTCATCAATTTTTGAGAAAACGACGTAATTTTCTCACACAAACCAATGACGTAACAATCAATACTTGCTCACAATAACGATAACTCTGCAATACGAAAAGACGGAATAAGAGGCAGATAGTTCTATTTATTACTGTTTTCATTCTCGACACTACTTGCTACAACTAAGTGCCAGCATTTTTATAATTTCATGGGGTATTATTGGCCGCTCTATTTTTTTCTGTTTGACAATCACTGCAATTCTATGTTTTGGGGGATTGTTTGGAGACATCTTTTATTTGTTTTATGACATGTGTGTCAAGTGACAAATTGTTACTTCCCCTTTATTTCCCGTCCCCAAACAATATCCCAGCTGATATCTTTGTTGACATAGTTTTTTCTAGTGCAGTGTCTACATGTTATATATTTCATGTTATAAATGTTTATTATACATGTCTTCTGATTTTTGTGAGTCCCATTTGAATTCATGTCTGTTTTTTCTTACAATTCGACCGTCCCGGTGTTGTTTATTAATACATATGTACTCCATTATATTTATTCTACAAATTTTCCTATGATGTGATTTGGTAATATCCCACTACAATTAAAAAGTATTTTGTAATGTATAACAATGCCCCAATTCTACTAGAGATATCTCTGATATAGAATATTTCATGCCTTTTTTCTTGCTCTCTCTATTCATAAACATACCATGTACAGTATAGATACCCCCATGCCTTGCTCAGGTGTATATTGATTTCCAATAATAAACCCTACCTTATTCGGGTAAAATATGTACATGTATTTATTTTCAATATAACTACCTAATAAAATGTATCCTTTCAGTTAAAGATTGTTAATACAAACTCACACACTGAACATAAAACATATGCTCTGGATATTCCCGAGGGATAATATTTATATGGTGATGTTTGGTTGTTCCGTGAACAATTATCCAAATATAACTGAAAAGTTAAATATGTAAAATTTGATCATCAGAATATTCTGGCACATGCAAATCTGTATATCCTCTGACTGGCAATGTGTACAGGAAAAAGAAGAGTCAGTCACAAACAGTTGGTAATTCAGTGGCGGATCCAGAGTTTTTTTTTGGGCTTCGGGAACCCCCACCCCCACCCTGATAATTTTCTTTGAAAATCATGTATTTTCACCATTTTCCTCAATTTTTCCCCACATGGAAACCTCCCCCTAGGAAATTTGCTCCCCCCCCCCCCCCCACCCCACCCAGATAGGTCTCTGGCCGCCACTGGTAATTTTATGTTTGTGAATGATGTGCGGATGAGATTGGACTGTATATAGTGACATATAAACTTACATTTCAAATAATTCACATTCATTGTTGTATATATTGAGTTTTATTACATGTTTAAATGATCAGTTGTTATGGTTAGCTTGGTACCACCAATAATAATACAGTGACTATGTGACTCGTCCTGGTTAGCTTGGTACCATCAATAATAATACAGTGACTATGTTACTCGTCCTGGTTAGCTTGGTACCACCAATACTAGTACAGTTACTATGTGACTCGTCCTGGTTAGCTTGGTACCACCAATACTAGTACAGTTACTATGTGACTCGTCCTGGTTAGCTTGGTACTACCAATAATAATACAGAGACTATGTGACTCGTCCTGGATAGCTTGGTACCATCAATAATAATACAGTGACTATGTTACTCGTCCTGGTTAGCTTGGTACCACCAATACTAGTACAGTTACTATGTGACTCGTCCTGGTTAGCTTGGTACCATCAATAATAATACAGTGGCTATGTGACTCGTCCTGGTTAGCTTGGGACCACCAATAATAATACAGAGACTATGTGTCGTTGTCTTGGTTAGCTTGGTACCACCAATAATAATACAGAGGCTTTGTGACTCGTCCTGGTTAGCTTGGTACCACCAATACTAGTACAGTTACTATGTGACTCGTCCTGGTTAGCTTGGTACCCCCAATAATAATACAGAGACTATGTGACTCGTCCTGGATAGCTTGGTACCATCAATAATAATACAGTGACTATGGGACTCGTCCTGGTTAGCTTGGGACCACCAATAATAATACAGAGACTATGTGTCGTTGTCTTGGTTAGCCTGGTACCACCAATACTAATACAGTGACTATGTGCCTCGTCCTGGTTAGCTTGGTACCATCAATAATAATACAGTGGCTATGTGACTCGTCCTGGTTAGCTTGGGACCACCAATAATAATACAGAGACTATGTGACTCGTCCTGGGTAGCTTGGTACCATCAATAATAATACAGGGACTATGTGACTCGTCCTGGTTAGCTTGGTACCATCAATAATAATACAGTGACTATGTTACTCGTCCTGGTTAGCTTGGTACCACCAATACTAGTACAGTTACTATGTGACTCGTCCTGGTTAGCTTGGTACCATCAATAATAATACAGTGACTATGTGACTCGTCCCGGTTAGCTTGGTACCACCAATAATAATACAGTGACTATGTGACTCGTCCTGGTTAGCTTGGTACCCCCAATACTAATACAGTGGCTATGTGCCTTGTTGTCTTGGTTACCTTAGTACCACTATAGTTACATAATAATACAATGGCTATGTGCCTCGTAGTCTTGGTTACCTTAGTACCACTATAGTTACATAATAATACAGTGACTATGTGCCCCATTGTCTTGGTTACCTTAGTACTACTATAGTTACATAATAATACAGTGTCTATGTGCCTCGTAGTCTTGGTTACCTTACTACCACTATAGTTACATAATAATACAGTGACTATGTGCCTCTTAGTCTTGGTTACCTTAGTACCACTATAGTTACATAATAATACAGTGGCTATGTGCCTCAGTGTCTTGGTTACCTTAGTACCACTATAGTCACATAATAATACAGTGTCTATGTGCCTCGTAGTCTTGGGTACCTTACTACCACTATAGTTACATAATAATACAGTGGCTATGTGCCTCAGTGTCTTGGTTACCTTAGTACCACTATAGTTACATAATAATACAGTGTCTATGTGCCTTGTAGTCTTGGTTACCTTAGTACCACTATAGTTACATAATAATACAGTGACTATGTAACTATAGTGGAAGTAAGGTAACCAAGACTACGAGGCACATAGACACTGTATTATTATGTAACTATAGTTACATAATAATACAGTGACTATGTGCCTCGTAGTCTTGGTTACCTTACTTCCACTATAGTTACATAATAATACAGTGACTATGTGCCTCATTGTCTTGGTTACCTTAGTACCACTATAGTTACATAATAATACAGTGGCTATGTGCCTCGTAGTCTTGGTTATCTTAGTACCACTATAGTTACATAATAATACAGTGGCTATGTGCCTAGTAGTCTTGGTTACCTTGGTATCACCAATCATGATAAAGCGACTATGTGCTTCACAATCCACCATGTGCCGATAGACTAGAACAAATTCCATCCT